AGCAGGAACTGCATTTAATGCATTAAAAGTAAGAATTTTAAAAATGACATTTATTAAAAATTTGCATAGTTTTTTGATAAGATATTTCTAAATGTTTATAAAATTTCTTCTGAGAAAATTTGGTAAAATACAGTTGAAAACGTTAAAGTGGTTAATGTGATTTTTTAAGGATTTTCTTTTTTCGGGAATGTTTTTACAATTATAAAATTTTTACATTAAATTAACTATTCAGTCAATTTAAAGTCAGAATTAGTTAAAAAAATAAATAAACATTTTACAAATAAAAGTTATTTATAAAGACCAGCAGAAAGAATGATTACAATAAATTATTCTGAATATTCTCTGCTGTATATGCTACCACTTTATGAAATATGCACAAGCATGTAAAACATAAGTACAAAGTACAAATAATATATTTATTACAAAGTACAAATATAACACTATTCTTTAAGTGTTTGTTTTTTATATTTATANAAATCTATGAACCTTATAAATGAAATTCCAGCAAAGTTTAATGCAGATAAAATACAAATGCTTTCGATGTACATAGATCATCTTCAGGTTAATTAGTGTGTTCCAGTGACATTCAAGCCTATCTAGACAAAGCTTCCATTATACGATGATCTAAGCATGACGACCAAATTAGGGCACTAGAAGCTCGAGATATTCAAATCTGAAAAAAGGGGCTTTTGCATCAATTTCAAGGATGAAAAATGCTTAACTTATGCCACAATCTTTATACTAACAATGACAGTCAATATAAAAAAAAATTTTAAAAAAGTTTTTTGTAAATTCTCATTTATACTTATATTTTATTATATATTACATTATATACACTTGTGAATTTTTTATTTATTTGAGCATTTTCAAATAATTTTAAAATGTTCCTTTCCTCACATTCCATTTTGGAACACATTAACCCGAAGATGATCTTCTATGTAGATTGGAAGTGTTTGTATTTTATCTGCATTAAATTATGCTGGAATTTCATTTATAAGGTTCATAAATTTGCATTTTACATAAAAAGAATCTAAGCTGTATACTTAATATATGATTATGAACTATTAGTTAGTTTTGTTTATATTATTTATATTGAGTTTTTCAAATAATTTTAAAATGTTCCTTTCCTCGCAGTCTATTTTGGAACACATTAACCTGAAGAAGATCTCCTATGTAGATTGAAAGTGTTTGTATTTTATCTGCATTAAATTATGCTGGAATTTCATTTATATTTGTTTTATTTCAATATAATTTTGCAAGTAAAAATATAGTCTCTAATTTTATTTTATTTACATATATTTTAGCTTAGAATAAGAGAATTCTTGTATCAAAATATTTTTATAGATTATATGTTGTATTAAAATAGGATACTGTCATTTAAGGTTACATTTGCTTTATTTTTTATGGACCATCTTTAATAGTTTATGACAAATAATAGGATAAATAATAGATATCATATTGGAATAGAAATTTTTTTTCTATAGTTACAAATACACAGTTGTATCTAATTACAAAAAATATTTTTATAATTTTCTAATAATTTCTTTCAAAATCATTCAGGAAAACTTAATGACATTTACTTATTTATTTGTTATATAAATAATTTAAGAAGGATAGATGATTGACGAGATCTTGAAATAGCCTATGCATTGCTTTTATACTACTTGTAGGAAATAAGATGTCAGTTGCAATGTTAACTTAAATTTTTTTAATAGAACAGAACCTGGTTAACTTGAAGCAGGATAACTTGAAGTTGGATTTACTTCAAATCATTTTCATTCCCTGATTGTCCAGCATAGAGATTTACATGTTAAATAAAACTGGTTAACTCAAATTCATCAAACTGTTTAACTCAAATGGGGTTTTGGTATAGTAGTTTCATAAACTCTTCAGAATTTTAATTTTTTCATTAGATGAATATTAATTATTTTATTTATTGAATAAACTAATCAGAAACTTTTTATAAAGTGTGGAAACCATGTATAACTAAAAATTCAAACCTGCTGTTTTTTATTTGAATGTTGATGGATTTCTTTGATTAGCTGGCATAATAAGTAAATTAATTTTAGAAACAATTACAGTTCAATTCTATTAAAATTTTTAACCTTTACAGCAAAATTTTAAAAATTTAACAATCATAAGAGTTATAAGCATTTTTGAGTTTTTGGACAACACCAGTTTACATTGATATGACAATTCTACATAATAAGACTCATGGAAATAACATATGGCTAGCTTATTATGGCCACCAATAAACCAATGCACAAAATCTTGAATTTTAGCCAAACTTTTTAACTTGAAGTTAGAATTTTTTCTCAACTAATTTCAGTTAACTAGGTTCCAGTGGAAAAGCACAAGGCAAAAAATACAATAACTGCTTTCATCTGATTAGTTTTCTTCAGAATAATCAAATCTGATAGATGATTGAAAAATTTGCATTTTAATGAATTATTGTAATAAAAATGGAAACATTTTTTAGTTTTTTCAGCAATCACATTTAATATGATTATCATTCATGTCATAATATGAAATGAGATATAGCAAAAAATGATCTTTAAAGAAAAAATTGCTTACTACTTATTGACTTTTCAAATATTCTGATTCAAAAAGCAAAATTAGTAAGTAGTATTCAGTCTAATTGAATATCATTTACTAAATTATTATTTGTGTTGGACTGAATATTTTGCATTATTTGGTATGAAGGCACATTTGACTGCAAATTAAATGTTTTGTATTTGGTCAAATACTAAACACATATTTGATATTTTGATTGAATACTTCCCCAAAGCCAAACTATTTGGCCAAATAATCTCATTTTAGTTTGGGAAAGAAAAGGAAGAAAAAAAAAATAAAACACAAAATACAATGAAAATAACATTTAAAATTTCAGATATTTAAAAATATTTATTTCTTTTCAAAATAAATGTAATTTTAATAAATGAACATGAGTGAATATTTTTTAATAATCACAATTGAAGAGTTTCTAAATTGTAATGAAGAAATATTAATGCTTCTTAAATCATTAATGCATTCATAGGAAGTAAGTGATTTTGCTGGTTGTCATAAATTCTTTCAGCATTGTTGAACACACTGTACATTCACTAAATACACTACTTAGTGGGGCTGCCAAAAAATGATGGACTCAATGGCAAGATTTAATTTTTTCCTTTTCTTACATCGTTAATAATAATTTTTAAGAGATAAAAATGTACATAATCTTTATTATTGAGTAGAAAACTGCCTTCCACCTTATTCTAATGCTTCTGTTTAAGCAGTTTCAAATAAATTAGGTGATATTTGGCTGAATATTTGGTATTCACTAGTCAGAAAGGTGAGAATATTTGGCATTCAGCAATAGTAACAGAGTATATCTGAATAATTATTCAGTATTCGGCCAAAAACTTCTGTTTGGTCTATCCCTAATTATCATATTTTTATTATTATCCTGTTTCAAAAGAGAAATCATTTTTAGAGAACATTCCTTACTGGATATTTCCAAAAAGTGATATTTCTCAAGGTTGTTAAAATTATGTTTTGAGTGATTAATATTGAATTTCATAAAGATAGTTTCCTATTATCATACATTCAGAATAATGGGTGTGGTCACTTTAAATTTTATGCTAGTGGACAACTGTTAAATTATATTATTTGACTACTATTATTATTGGTTCCCTGTTCATTTGTACAGAAAATGTATACAAATACACATTTTTTCACACATTACACATTCTTTTGCACTCACTTTGATGTCTGTCTGACATTCTCTCTTTTCAGTTTTACTTTGAACAAGTTTAAAAATGACATTAAATTGACATAATACAGTACATTATCTGAACTGAACAGATTCTAGGACAAAGCCCAAAATATTTAAAACCCGGAATTTTGTTTTTAATAGTTTGGCTAATACTTTAGTATGATAAATGAAAATATCTAAAATATATATAAAATAATAAATAAAAATAATTAAAATTTCTAATTTTTAATTCAAAATTCAAAACTTAGATCAATAGTTGAATTATTAGTTGATATTACTGCACTGTTTAAATGACTGTTAAAATCTTTTAACTATTATCAATAAAATTTTATTTATTGAATGATTTAGTTTTGCTCAACACAACACTCTTGATTCATTTTTGAAAATGTAACGAAAACAATGTCTATGTAAGGCATTATGAACTTTCCAACACAATATAGAAACTATAAGCATTTTATATCCTAGTTTAAATATTTTGATCATGAAACAGTTAATATAGCTGTTAATGAACAATTTCTTTGTATGCAATAACATAGACAATCTGTATGCTATACAACAAACTATGTTTGTGATACAGCTTGACAAATAGTGCACATCAATAAAATAATTTTTTTAAAGATACAGACAAAAATTTATGGTAAAAAACTAGGAATAAATTTTAACACATTCTTAACAATGTCTTTGACATTTCTGTAAATTGGAGAATTGACTGACTACTGTTAGTGACAACTTGAAAGCATGTTTAGGTTTTCTGCTGTAGGAAATGTTTATATGATATGATTCTGTGATGTTTCTTGAGCTTTACTTAAGATGCATAGTTTATTTCTGGTTACTTTGTACATGTTGTTATAACATTTAACCAGTTATATTTGAAATGTAACATGTGTCTTTTTCTGCATATTATTTTGGGACATAAATGTAAATTTTTATTTTATAAATATTTTCCAAAAAGTGTCATATTGAGAGATATGTCTTTTTATGACATTTGAGTATTAAAGAGTAAAAGATGTTCTTTTAGGAAAATATTAAGTGGAAGATGCATGTAAAAATAAGAATATTATTTTATTACCTTTGTCTTTGTTTTCTTTGATATTTTTTAATTTTGAAAATAATAATAGTTAATAAATGAATATATAAATTTTTTCAATACAATAATTAATTTCAATATACTAATTACATTTATTTATTACCTTAATACTTTTCCTCATTTTCATATATAAAAATTTAACGTGTTTTTAAATTTTAGTCATGGGACACTTTCTTTAAAAGTACAACAAAAGGTGCTGAACCTGGACAAGCATATCAAAGCCCACCTGCATTTACTGTTGCTCCACCTATGCCGTATTATCCATTTCCCCCTGGAATGCCTTATTATGTACCTGCAGCAGCTGGTACTGCACCTGTACCAACTTGGCCTGCAACCATTCCACAAGCTCCAACTGCTGCTTTGACTCCAACTGATACTTCTCATATAGCACCTCGAGACATTGATGATCATCTTTCTGTACAGGCCATTATTAGATCTTATCAGGTATTTAGAAAATAAAAAGTTATTTTATTTTTATAAATTGTAAATCAATGTATGTAGGTTCTAATAATTTGAGGATTAGAATGACAAATATTTTAATAAGCAATAGTAATTGTCTGGGTCATCTAGAGCTTGTATGAGACCTGGAGGTAGAATAGGCCTCTCTTTTCATGGTATTTTAAACAAATGAAATGTGTAGAATGTTTGTTTATTGATAAAAAGTAGTCTTAAAGATTTTATTTTCTTTTAGTAAAAATAACAAATTTTATAAGGGTAAAAACCACTATGCACCCCTAAATTTTCTCTAAATTTGGGGAAAAATCTGCAGCTCATTCCCTCTTGATGACCCTGATAATTGTATACAAATATAGATATGCAATTTTATACCAGTTATAGTAAATAATAATTTTATAAGTAATAGTAATTGTAGCAAATGTACGTAAACTAATTTTTAAATATTTATAGAAAAAAACATTCTATTGTAGATTATTTATTATTATTTACAAATATCATCTGCTAAAGACTGAAGCTTGTTAAGTTATATTTTAGATTTATCCATTTTCCATATAAATTTTTAATGAAAATGAGATATTTTTTATGCCAAATCACTCAAGTTAAAATTTGCTTGCATCTCAGATTTTGAAAAAGGAAAAAAAGGCTCAATGTCATGTTTATATGTATACAGGAATTATATGTACACAGTTATTAAGGAAAAGAAGCTCAATGTTCTTATTTTTATCTTTACAGGTTTGTTGTTTGTTTGTTACTTGGGGGTCAGCTATCATTGTTGTGACATTGCTGTATTTTCTTGTAAATAAAAAAAAATAAATAAAAATATAGGCATACCTTACTACTTTAAGGCACTTTGCTAGTAAGGTGCTTTTTTTTATTACTTTCTGCATTTTTTTCTCATAAGTGGGTTTCAGGAGCTTTTTGTTTATTATTTTTACTTTTGCACCATTTCTATGTAGACCTATTACTATTATGTACTTAATAAATGGTAGTTTAAATATATTTTTAAGCTTTTATATGCATTGGTAAGTGAGGAAGTGATTTGTTTTCAGGTGAAATTTGATTTATGGTAGCAGTCTGAAACTCATCACATTATCAAGATCTACATGTACAGTACTTCCAAAAGAACAGTGTTTTGTAGAGTAATACATTTGAAATGATTTTTCAGAATCTATCATACTGCATGCACAAGTAATGTCAGAAGAATGGAATTAAAATTTTTCTGATATCTATTGAAAATTTATTACAGTTACAGTACACTGTATATTAATTAATTTATATAATGAAATTATGAATTTTAGAAATGGAATTCTTAATTTTAGTTCTTTATATACATTTTAAATATTGAAAACAACTTATGTAAATATGAACAAAAAAATCAAATAAACAACATTCACAGTTTAAAAAAATGAATAACAATTCAAAATATCTTAATACAATAGAATTAAAAATTTATTTAAAAAACTACAAGGAAAAATTTAAGGAATAAGATAAAAAATGAATAACTAAGTTTATTCAAAAGTTTTGAGAAAATAAGATTAGATTTTTAATAATAGTAACTTGCAGATTTAAATTTATGATCATTTCATGACTAAACAAAGTAATTTTATATAATTTGCATGTGCTGGATACAAAAAAGATGAAATTTTCTATCATGTAAGAACTTCTTACAAAACAGTAATACTGATATTCATGGGAAACATTATTGAAAAAATTATTGGGCTGCAATTTGAAAAAATTTTAGATCTATAAATTCCCACTGTCATCCATCTGTCTACCTATCTGTCTGTCTTTCCTTAATCTTGAGAACAGTGTTAAATAAATGAAATTCAAGACCATATATGAAAAAGTTTGGGGCAGGAGGCCCTAAACATGAATTTCCAATGCAGACTGGAAGTCATGTTATTTCAGTTCAAAAACTTTCCCCTGAAAGGAGTTAAATTAATATAGATGACCAGCATGACTCCATTGCCAACAGAAAAGTGTGATGTACAGAGGCAAGATACTACAGTACTAATTTGAAGTGGAAAGTATATATCTTAAATTAAATAAATTAAAAATATGATTAAAAATTGTAGCCTGGCATTGTGATGATGTCACAATAAATAATTACTTATTTGTATATATACATTTTCATTCAATAAAAACTACCATACAGAATGTATAGAATTAACAAAAAATATTTCTATCTCCCTGTAATAGTTTTCAACAGTCATTAAAATCAGTGTAATGGTTTATTTTTTGTTTTCTGAACAACAATCAAACCATTTCTTGCTCCCTTTGTGTACCTGTTGGAATCTTTTTCGTTTAAGTAATCAGCCAACAGTAACCTAAGCATATTGATTTTCCATCATCGTTAATATTATCTCTCAATTTCCTTTACATCTTAATAGACTCTATGCACTACTTCTTTACTCAAATTTCTGGGAAATTAATCCAGATGAGATTGTAAGAAAAGTTTCAAACTCATTGCAAATGAGATTCTTGTTTATATTTGTGTAATTTGGATTTTTTTTTATTATCAAAACACTTTATAACATTATCTTTAAAAACTTGCCATATTGCAGGCTTTTCTGTTATATTTATTATGCTTTCAAATGCTGCATCATAGAAAAGTTTTCTGATATCTTGATATCTGGATTATCACCTTCTAACTTTTTTGTGTGAGTCACAACACTTCTGGCATCAACTTTGGATTTAGCATACTAAAATTGCTTTTAAAATATTTACCAATTTATTGTAATGGATATATTGCAGGCTAATGGAATGGCAATTCAACATCAACTATAATATGCACTTTTCTGCATTCTTATGAGTCAGTACATTTCCATCCAGATAAGCCATTTTCACATTTTTGGAAGATGTCCTGCTCTTTAAGCACAATGGTTATACTCAGAAATTTCCTAGTAATATATTGGATAAGTGTTTTTAATTTTAATATAGCCAAATCTTTAGTTACAAACACCCCTGTTTATGAACAATTTGGTCTACGAACAAAATTTTGAATGCTATATTTGCTCTGGTTGTTGTATGATAACTCTGTTTTTGAACAAGCTATTTGTCAAGAACTGTCCACAGATGGTGAATTTTCTATACTTTCTGTGTTAAAGAAAGTTGACAGTCTGACCAATCAACAACAGGACCTACTGATTTAGAAGTTAGTGGCATTGAGATTGCCTCATGTCATATAATAAATCATCAATGACGTTGCTATCTAAATTACGTTTCAATGTGCATGTGGGAAAGATACTATTTCTGTTTTTCTGTATGTACAGTACCACAGTTGAATTTAAATCAAATTAATTAATGAAATCCGAATTAGCTGACATTCACATAATACAAATGGCATTCAAGAATTTGTGTTAAATATGCTTAAGTTAAATTAAATGACAAAAATTATTAATATAATATTATATTAATAATTTTATATTATTAAAATTAATATTATATAATATTACCTAGCTATATTAATAATATAGCTAGGTAGTCAGTAAATATTATAATATATAATATTATAATATTAACTGGCTACCTAGTATTAATAAATATTAAATATTAATTAAACTAAAACTAATAATGAAAACTGACCTTTACACTGAAACAAAAAATAAAATAAAATAAATGAATTAAAATAAAAATTGAAATGCAATATTTCAAAGCATTGACAAAGTACCTCATTCTGTTTTTACATGATAGATACATTCCGAAGAATACATGTAAAAAAATTTGTGTAAAAAAATATATTGCATCTATGGAAAAATAGAAGATTGGTTCCAATCCTAAGAATAAAATAAAATAAATGAATTAAAATAAAAATTGAAATGCAATATTTCAAAGCATTGACAAAGTACCTCATTCTGTTTTTACATGATAGATACATTCCGAAGAATACATGTAAAAAAATTTGTGTAAAAAAATATATTGCATCTATGGAAAAATAGAAGATTGGTTCCAATCCTAAGAAATAAGCAAAAATAATACATTAAACCATGAGTTTTTATGTTAGGATCTTAAACATTTTATTTCATAAAGATTGTACATGTATCATGCAAAGTAAATTATCATTTGAAAAGGAAAAAAACATGTCACTAATTCGTGAACACAAAAATTAGGTAAAATAATATGAGTTACACATAAAAAGATTTTATTCGTTGTCAGTTTCTGACAATAAACGCATATGTTTGCATAAGACTGCAATATTACTGCTATCACTAGAAATGTCTTGGTTATCATCTTCATGCTCCATTGGTGAAATTCTTTCTGTAATCTCTTGAACAAAATTAGGACTAGCCTCCTGTAATGCTGATGTTTCAGTGGATTTAAGAACAAATTCAGTAATTAATCTTTGTGTTTGTGTTTTGGCTAGGCCATTCATAATCTGAAATCATTAATGTCCTCTGACATTAATGATTTCAGATTATGTTGAAAGTTGCCAGCTTGTTCCTCATTAGGATCATGTTTAACAAAATGATTACCCAATTTACTGGCCAGTTCAAGACTTCTTTAAATTAAATCTGCATTTAGAACAGGATCTTCTTCGTCTTTATCACTATGTTCTTTGGGATCAGGAGTCTCGATAGATCATCAAATCCTTCGTTGCCAATTGTGTGTGCCAATGTTATGATGTTGGAAAATTTGGTTGTATTAGGGAGGATGGGATCTTTGTTTTTAATACATTCTGGCCAAACAACTTTCCAACATGCATTCAAAGTTGATGTTCTTAATTCAACTAGTGCTAATTAAATTTGATTGATACAATTCATAATTGAAAATTTCGTCTACACATCAATGACTGTTAGTGTTTGATCGTTCAGTTTGTCCTAAATGTATTGAAATGTTTGCATTACGTAGTATGTTTTAAATGTTGCAATTATACCTTGATCTAATGGTTGTATCAAGGATGTAGTATTAGGTGGCAGAAAACAAAATTGCACGTTTGAATGTTCTAAGACCGGATGGCCAGGTGCATTGTCTATAATCAAAAGAACTTT